GGACTACTGAATTTTACATAATCAGGAAGTTAGAATAGTAAATTGCAATTGATTTTATTTGAAATCTATCCATCAAATAAGAGAAGAAAACGGCAAAAGCATTAGCATAATATCAGTTCTATTGATTCGTTTGATACATTCATCGTTCTTATCAGTTCTAGATTTACTTTATCAAAATATCATATTTCAATAACTTGATCTTTACGATTTTCAAATTTATGAAATCAAAAAATTTCATCAAAAATTTTTATTCGATAATTTATCAATTTATAAATTTAGCTTTTACAAAATATTAGTATTTATGATATCATTCATTTTACAACTTATAGCAATATATTATCTGAAAAGCATCAAAGCATAAGTAAAATATAAAGCATAAAAGCTTGGCTTAAAGAAATTTAATTTGAATGAATGAATTAATTAATTACAGAGAATTCAAAGAGTAAAATAAATTATTACTATGGTTACAGAAAACTATGGAAAAAATAATCTTTAATTTTAATTTTAATTTTAATTTTAATTTTAATTAAATATTCATTTCAATGATTTACAATAATGAATTGCGATATGCTTAAATTTTTGTTTTAATTGCTAATAACTTTTTAAAACTTGTATTTTTATTTTTCTTCCATATTTTACTTTTGCTGATATTTATGTATTTCTCAGATTTACCTTGATTAATTTGTAGGGATTAGCTAGACTAATTTGTAAAAGCTAACTAGACCAGTTTGTCTCGAAATAATCTATCATCATTTTCAACCTGTTCTTCTATTAGGTATGTATAAAATCATTTCCACTTTGGCTGTGTCAGAAAATGGAATACGATTTACCGAATATAAAACAATTTTCAAATATGAATAAAATTTCCGAAGACTAATTATCAGGTTTCTATTTGATCCAAATCATTGATTTTAAATTCTACAGTAATAGAAAACTAATTTTAAAAAGAAACCATCCATTATTTTGTTTCTTTACCTTCAAATATACTTGTATGCAATTATCAATAAAGTACTAATAATCACCGATCGATAATTCACCTATTGAATGGTAAACTTATATTAGTGTATTTGATTCATTTTTCTCAGCTTACAACAAAATAGCAAAATTTTAATAGAAAAAAAGAAATGATAAGAAATGAATTTATTTCAAATTAAAGTACTGATAAGAAATAATAAATGATAAAATAATGGATATCACGGGATACTTAAAATACGATCATCAATTAATTATCTTTTCTTATTTCTCACATTAGAAGTCATCTTTTGAATTAATATTGCTATCATTGATATTTTGTAAAATTAATGTTTTATTAATTCATCGTATTACTACGAATACATCGCATATATTTTTTCTCAATTTAACATTTTCAGTTTTTTTAAACGGTTGAAATAGTCGAGCGTGCTATGTGGGTTATGCTTGTGCACCCGCTTACCGTTGAGTTTTTTGATGGTGTTTGTGGGTGGCCCCGGAAGTTCGGGTTATGGAGTACCAGGAAGTAACTAAGGCTCTAATCCTATTTATCAATTTTATCGATCAACAAATGTTTTCCAAGATGAAATAGTGATAAGATAAATATGATAAATTCTAAAATGAATGACTACTGCAGTAAACGAAGGAATCATCTGTTTGTTTCGGATACAGAAGATAGCTAGTATAGAAAGTGAAGAAATAGCAACTGATAATTGATGAAGAAGACAGTTGAAGAAATGTGAAAATCATTCATTATTCAACCACCGTTTTATCAATCTCAAAAAGAAAAAACTGATCAAACTAAAGATAAGATGAAAATTACTATTTCAACTTCAAATAAAGCGACAAAAGAAGTCAACTAAAAAATTAACAAAAAAATTTAAAACAAAAAAGAATTCGAATAAAACAAGAGAAAATGAATAAAGCGCGATATCATCGGATCATTTAGCAGCATGTGAAGTAAAGAAGGAATCATCTGTTTGGCTCGGATACAGAAGATAGCTTTTTGGAAGCATAAAAAAATGATAGAATGCTAATCCATAAAAATTCAAAATTTAAAAACTGCACTAAATCTGATAAAATTTCTTACAAGCAACGATAACTAAGTGCAACAAAATTCGAAAAATGAAATGATCGCAAGGAAATCGCAAATGATTACGATCGTAAGGAAATCGTAAGTGATTACGGTCGTAAGGAAATCGCAAATGATCACGATCGTAAGGAAATCGCAAATAATTACACTACCTGCCGGGATTTATTAGTGTATATTCTATCATAAAGAAAACTTGCGAAAATGTTCTTCACTTTTCAATAGAGTAAAAACAAACATAAATAAGTTAATAGTTAATTTACACCTGAAATTGTTAAAATATTATTATTATCATTTGAAATTTAAAAAAATGTAATTCTTTCATTTACAATTTAATAAAGTAAGTCCAAATTTTTATTCTCTTCTATTTTTTTATTAAAGACTTAAATTTATAAATATTATTAATTAAATTCCATACTCAAAATGTTTGAAATACTAAGAGTATTTTGATATAATTGAATTATAGGCCAGAAAAGTGTAGGATTCCTTATGGGAAACTTAGCCAAATGTAAGATTCCTTATAGGAAACCTAGCTAAATGCAAGATTCCTTACGGGAAACTTAGCTAAGTGTAGGATTCCTTGTAGAAAACTTATCTAAATATAGGATTCCTTATGGAAAATTTGGTCAAATGTAAGATTCCTTATGGGAAACTTAGCCAAGTTCAGGATTCCTTATAGAAAACTTGGGCAAGTGTAGGATTCTTTACGGGAAACTTGGCCAAATGTAGGATTCGTTGTGGAAAACTTGGCCAAAAATTATGAAACAAAAGAATTGATTTCTGAATAACATATCAAGTAGAATTTCATTGATTATTATGAAATAACTATTTCGAATGATTTTATTTATTTATATTTATTCTGAGGAATTACTATACCAGTTTTTTTCTTTTTCAGTTTCATTATTTCGAAACAATTAAACCTTATGAATTATTTCAATTTTTGATTATTGGGAAGGATGACTTAGACTATCATAGACCATTATTACATGTTATTAAAATGATTATACCTAATCTGATAGATGTCAAATTTATATTATTATATCTGAAAGATATGTTCAGATATTGATTTAGGTCAGAGATTTCAACAATGAACTTTCCGTTGGAAAATTTATTATCATTTGCAACTAAATTATAATATAATCAAATGTAATGTTGTTGCATTCAATTTTTGCAATAATTTCTTTTAATTAATCTAATTTGTATAATTAATTAAGAATTCATAATAAAATCTAAACAATGTAAACAATTATGACTGTAAATAACAGTAAAATTTGAATTTGAGAAAATTAGTACTGCAAAATTTGTCTACGCTTGTAATCAATTAATATTACGACTATGATATTGTTCGATTGATTTGGATACGAATGAACATTAAATAGATATGATACAAATGAAAGATCAAGAAACAAAGCGTACGATACAGATGGAAGGACAGGAGATTAAGCGTACGATACAAATAGAAGAACAGGAAACAAAGTGTTCGATACAGATAAAAAGTCAGGAAATAAATCGTATTAAAACGCTTGGTGGATTACCAATTTATTTACAAGTAATTAATAGCATTACTTTGGAATCATTTCTTCTGGCGGCCAGGTCATATCTTGTCCGATAATGTTTCATGATAGGCTATCCTAACTTATACATATTAAAATATTTGTCGAAATTTATTCAACAAAATATCAATTTGAATGAAAAAATAATTATATACAAAATGTTTTTTATCGTTATCATTATTTTGTCATAAATATTTCGAGTTTTTCCACTTCTTTTTTACTTTGCAGATTTTCAACATCTACGTTGTACGCTGTGAAATATCGATCGTTTTAGAGTAAATTGTTTTTATAGTATATTTTGATAATTATCCACAAATTAATAGTACCAATAAATTTTATGATGTATATTTATCATATAGTTTGAAATATTTAAAAAGCTATTTTTTTCAAATTTCATTTTTTAATCAATAATAGAATTGGTATAATTAATAATAGCATAATATAATTGTATCACTTTATTCTTATAAATATTAATTTGTCAAAAATTTCAAATATACTTTTGACTTTTGAAATTTCATACTTTTAAAGCACTTGCAAATCACCATTGCATAATTAGTGTTGGTGATATTTGCTTTGTTCAATTGGTTGAAGATAATTTCCAGAAGAGTCATATGATTCATCACTTTTAAATTTTAAAATTTAAAATTTAAAATTTAAAATGTTTATTGCAAAAAGAAGTAAATATTTCTTTTGTAAAAAAGTACTTTTATAAGTTTGCAATTTTCTTTATTTTCTTACAACAATTATAATGCATTGCTATCATAGATATTATAGTAAATTATAGCTTAAATTTTGGGAACAAAGTGTTTATTTCTTTCTTATAATTCTTCCATTATCTTATACTATTATTATAATTAACATAATTAAGCAATGTTAGTCAACGAATTAATAAAATAAGTTTAAATATTATTGTTGTTGAAAATGTTGTAATGTATGAAAATATACAACATAAAATATAGGATGGATTATGAAATGAAGAAATGGAGCTAATTTGAAAAGCTTATTTATGTTCAAAGAACTAGTTCACCTACAACATAATTGTAATAAGCAAATTATTAATCATAAAAGAGATTATCATCTATTATGGAATATTTTCATCAGCGATTATCTTTTTCCAACGATACCAAATTTATCTTTGAATTTATTTACAACATTTTGTTGCCTTCTCTCATTCGATAGTTTAAATTTGAAGTTTATTTAAATATTCAAATTAATATTATTATCATTTGAATGATTTACTCATTCAATTGTTTAACTTTTAGAGATAAAATTTGATACCAATGTTTTATTATAAATTTGTTATTTAAATATACCGTTCAATAAATTAGAATAAATTTTTATTATTATTAATGATTCTACTACATATTATCTTGAAGATTTATAGATAGATGTTCCATCGATTTCCTGTCATAATTCTTAGTTTTGGTTTACTTGGAAGTGCTATACATGGACGATGTATCACTGAAGATTGTGATGATGAAGATTTAAGAGGGAAACAGGAGTATCAGTCTTCGAGACCAACAAGATTCTCCTCAACAAACTGTCATTATCATATGGAAAAGCTTTGCCCAGATTGTGGAGCTGATAATTGTAATGTTGATAAGAATATTATCGGTGATAATTGTTGGAATTGCTGTTGCAAACAATTATCATTACCTTCTAACACAGATGATAATAATGATTTGGATGATGACGCAACCGTATTAACAGTCAGATGTGAACCATCATCTACAGATTGCAATTCGAAAGGTGCGGAAGATTCAGGCATTTTGAGAGAGGGTGATGAGTCTTCACCATCTTTGTGTCCATCATGTCTTCAACAATCCAGGCCGGATAGCGACACTCCATCCAAAAAAGATGTTATGTTACCGGTGCTTCCCAAAGGTGTACCAATCATACCATCTCCTCAGTTAGACTTGTTGACCAGTGGCGATAGTATCGGATTCAAAAATATTCGCGATCTTCATTTATCAACAATTAAATCACCATCAGTTGATAAGCATCTTTTACAGGTGGGATAAGTTTAGCAATTTTAACTTTCTTCTTACCTTAATTTTCTAAAAATGTTAAGAAAATATTCTAGTTAGTAGTTGAACTTAAAATTTAAGAAAGCAAGATAAAAGTGTTACATTATAAAACTTATTTAAATGTTTTTTGAACAATTTAAATTCTTCTTTTTATGTGGGAATTTGAATCACAGCTAAATTCATAACTAAAATCTACAAATTTAAATGCAGAACGGAATGAAAACAGATGCCGATCAAATATTCAAAAAAGTTTAATCAGTAACTTATTGACAGTATTATTACTCCCTTATTGACAGCTATTAACAACATATTTTAAATATTCAGGAATCATCTACGGATAATTTCCCATCGCATGATTGTTGCACTCGATGCAACAGTGTAAACTGTACGCCACGAAATAACAATGTAATGATATTAGGAGCAAGAATATTCGAGAATAGACGAAATAGTGGAACCAAATGTAAAAACAAACAGTTGAAAAAATTAATGATGGCTGTAAGTGTCATTAATTTAAATTTAAATTTTGCAGTAAGTTTTATTAATTTAAATTTTAGGTAGGGATTTTCTGTTACAAAACTGAACACAATTTCCTTTCAAAACAGTTATTTTAATTTTATGATCGATTGAATTTTGGCTTTTATTCATAAAAAATTGAATTGAAAAAGTTATCGAAAAATGAAATTTATAACCTATGACCCTATTATTGATAGTAATTTATTCCATTTAAATTATTATAAACAATCACCATTGTTAAATTCTTTTTTTGCTACTTCTGTATAGTTTATTCATATCAATAAGGATTCCTTTTGTTTATTCATTAATTATTAATTTCGAATGGCTTACTAATAAGTAATAATTATAATATACTATAAAATTAACAGATATATTTATATAGCTAAATGCTTATGACAGATACACACATAAATGTATTATATTTTCACACTTTTACAATTCAACAAGGTAAATTTTTACTACATTTTACAATCTCAATCAATCAGACTGATAGGAACTGACTGATAGCAATGATTAGGTATATTTTAAAATTTGAAAAAATCTCTCAATCTTAATTTGAGAGAGAGAGAAAAAAGATCATAAATAATTTAATTCAATTTAAACAATCAAAATTAAATTAATTAAAAACTAATTGAAACAATTAAAAAAATTTTTTCCTTTTAATTTCTTAATAATTTGAAATTTTTTGCTAATATTAACGAATTGATTTTTATTCAAACAAAATGTCAGAAAATAAATTAAAACTTTTTTTCTAATTAAAAAAATTTTAGGATGGAAAAAAACGAATATTAAAATTTCAGAATATCAAGAAGAATCCAACGCGTTCTAAACGAGCGATACAACGAGCAGCAGAACAGAAATTTGTTGCACAATTTAATGTTGTCTGTTCCAAAGGTGATTTTAGCTATGTAACACATGCAACTGATTATTGTGAAGTATCCAATTTGGGTACTGTCTGCTATGCTTTTAGAATTCATTGAATTTTAAAGATTAATTTCAAATTTTAAAACAAGAAAAGTAGCTTGATACTTTTTGAAAATTTTCCATGTATTTCCATTATTTGTGATATGAGGTAATCATTAAATGAACATAAATAATATTTGATCTTAATTAGCTCTTTTCTTATCATTTGAAAGCAAAAAGATTTAGATGACAAAAATGCAACAGCTGGAAGAATAAAATCTTCCAGATCTCTAATCATTTATTATTATATAATGATAAAATGATGGTGATAATGATTATAATAATGTGATGACAATGATATGGTGATAATAATGATAATGATGATAAAGCAAGAAAGCAAGTAAATGATTGAGAATGATTAAAAAAGTTGTCTCAAAGCGATAAGATATGTATAATTTTGTCATTTCATTTGCATACCAAAAAGTACACTTTTGAAACTATTATTAACATTATCGTTATCAGTGTTAATAAAAAAATAACATTATCGTTATCAGTGTTAACAAAACAGTATTATCATTATTAGTGCTAGTAGATTAATTAATATAGAATTCAACTTCGCAATTTAATTTGTCTCAATTTTTTATTTCTAACATTTTCAGTGCTATGTTAATTTATGGGAATAATTCTTTCATTACCAATTTGACATTTTTGCTGTAACCAAATTTCTCATTGCTGTTACCTTTCAGGTATTTCGAGTATTTTTTGTTTAATTCAGAAGTTGTAATTATTTCAAACTGTACCGTACAGTTTGTTCATCAGATGGGAAGTGGAAAATACATTGCTTTTTCAACAAAAATCAACTTTTATAGGGATTGAAATTCTAAAGCGACATCATACCGCAATGCACGTTCAGAAGTTTTACTTCCAGAAGTTCAAAACTTCTGATGCTTCTAAACATTCCATTGATGTCAGAAATAATTATGTGACAAGTCTAATATAATAATGCAACAAAAGATTGATACGATGAAATGAAATGATTTTATTAAAATCTCTGCCTTGAAATAATTATGTTAAATTTCCAGAAAGATTTTATAATTTTAGATTAGGCACCACAACTCACGTTCAGAAGCTTTGCTTTCAGAAGTTCGAAACTTCTGATGCTTCTAAACATTCCATTGATGTCAGAAATAATTATGTGACAAATCTAATATAATAATGTAACGAAAGATTGATACGATGAAACGAAATGATTTTACTAAAATCTCTTCCTTGAAATAATTATGTTAAATTTTCCAACAAAAAAATTTATTAATTTTAAATTAAATCTGAATTTTTAATTTAAATCGTGAAAAGGAAATTGGAGTTTTTAAAAATTTTAAGTTTATAATTTAAAATAAAAGTTTTATAATTTAAAATAAGAAAATGATACTTTCTATTCGCTTCTATTTTGTATTATTTCCATTCAATAAATTAATACAACATTTCAAATTACTTCCATAAGTTTCAACGAACACAGGCGCTATTTTAACTTTGAAGAAAGAAATTTTTGCGCTTAAAGGCGTTTATGTCTTTGCGTTAAAATACTCTCACACATACGAATTCAATAAACATAAAACCATATGCAAACACATACATATATGTATATACATGTATTTTGTAAATAAATTAAAACAAGTTGACAGCGAGACGATCTTCTTTTGCCTGGCGCTTGATCAAAAATCATTACGTGGACCAATTAAAAAGAAAGTTGTCATCCTTCAATTGTCATCTATCATCTACCAAAGTAAAATTCTAATTTAACAAAATCCTAATTTTGCTCCTTCTTAAATTTGCTTTCATCGCTGAATTTTTTCTTGCATTAAAAAGTTGAATAATAAAAGAATTATCAAATGTAAATAGATCGATCATTCATTCTTTTTAAGGCCAATCAATATCACTTCAAACTTATAAATAAACTTATGCCAAATATTGCAGAATGTGGTAAATAATATTTGGATGGAAAACGAAATAGTTTAAAAAGCAATTGCAACAAAGTATCTATCCTTCCGCTTCATATAATATCATTTGTTTCACCGGTAATTTAGCCGATATAATTGATTTCTGTTCAGTTCAACATGATCTATCCGGCTATGTCGTCAGATCATTATAAAATGATAGATAAAATAATGATTTTAGAAAGTCTTAATGTATTTTCAATTGCAATAAAGTATCCATCCCTCCACTTCATACAATATCATTTGTTCCACCGATAATTTAGCCCATATAATTGATGATTTCTGTTCGGTTCAACATGATCTATCCGGCTATGTCTTCCGGTCATTATAAAATGATTTTAAGAAGTCTTAATGTATTTTTATGTTAAACAGACATTTTCATTCCTCAAACAGGTCGAAGAAAAGCCGAAAAAAACGAAAATAAATAATCAAAAAATGAAATATCCATGAAAATTATGTATGCTAATTTATTATCCTTTTTTAAATAATTAATATTATTTACCATAAAATTAAACGGATAATTCATAATTTGTTTAATTAATTCGTAATTTTTGAATTATTGAACACTAACATATATTCTTAAGATTTATAAAGAAATTTAAGTGCCGTAACAGAACACACTATTTTGCCGATCAAATAGTAATGGATTTGATCGGTAAAAGTTAAATCACCGATAATATATTTTAATCTTTTAGCAATTTGTTAAGATAAAAATTTGTTGTTGTCATTGCAATTCGAAACTGTACAAATAACTCGTGATAATGCAACACACTGACGAAAGATAAATTTATCTAACGAAATATCAGAAATGTTGATAATGACAAAAAAACACAGCAATTTATTTGTTAACATATTAATGAATGATAACATCAGAAGAATGAGAAATATTTTTTAGCTAAAAGATTTGATAATAAAATAAAACGAAAACAATTCAGAAGAAAATAGTAATAACTTACAAGAAAATCAAATTATATTCTTAACCCACAAATTTAAAAGTGAAAAATTCAAAATGTATAAAAATTCAACTGATTTAAATAAAAGATTTTTCGCCGATAAAAACTGATGGAATTATAAATGAAGGAGAATGAGAGATAGTGAATTCATAGTGATGGACATTAATAAAACACTTTCTCCTCTTAATATTGAAATAAAATACATGATGAATAGATACAACATGATATATATAATATTTACTGCTTTGCACTGTTTGAAAGCGATTTCGGAGTTGTTTCCGGTTCTTTCGGAGATGCTTGAATCGGAATGTTCCGTGCTTCAGGTAGGCCGACAATGGTTTTGGATGCGCAAACTGTCAATACTCCTTTATCGGACAAATGTGATTCGATTGTGTCAGATCGAACTTCTTCTGGCATGACAAATTTTCGAACGAAATGACGTTCGATACTACCATGTCCTGACTGATCGACACGCTCTTTGTGATGACCCTCAATAATTAGTTCACGATCTCGAACCGATACCGAAAGTTCCTTTGGATGAAAATGTGAAACATCAACTTGAACTGCAAACTTATCCTTCTCATTCGATACCTGAAACTTATTACATTAAGAAACATCCCGATGAAAACTTCCGACACTTATCACTCATTTACATGACCAAGCGAATGTCAGGTCAACGAAAACGAAAAAAAGCCCAGGAGGACCATTTCTAAGGCCAAAGAGAACTATTCCCAAAATTTCCCAAAATTCTCATAAACATTGATATCAGAAATTAAAATCCTGTTACCTCGCCGAATGCATTTCCGATATTGCATTCATTCAGAGCCGGCTGATTTAGCCAGTACGGTGCAACACTTCGCAACGGTCGATATGACGATCTGTCATCGAATGTGTTATCAAAAAAGTCTGTTATGAAACGTTCCATCGGTGAGGTATAAAAATAATCGCGCGGATTATAGCGGAAAAGTGACATTGTCGGATTTGCTTGAATGATAGCCGAATTCTTCTAAATCGGAAATATTTTAAAAAGTTATAAACTGATTTACTGTCGGAGCACCTAAACCATTACAATGGGTGCTGTAAGGCGTTAAGTTCACATTCGAAAGTTATTATCCCCTTGGAGTAATTTGAAGAACAAAAAACAATAACGAACGGAAAGCTAAGAGCAAAAGAGGAACCCGTTAGATGGATTACTCGACTGG